AGAGAGCTAGGAACAACTTCATAGAGAGAGATTAGGTTTCCAAATAAGAATCATTTTACAAGTAATTCCAAATAAGTCAGGTGGCAGCTCAAGCAAGTGGACATCATCAGAACACCTCTTAAAAACTGTATGGCCATGCCTTTTTGAGGTGCAGCTTGATAAGTCCCAGCTGAAAATTTCTCTCCTTACATGAACATGCACCGTATCTCTTCCTTGGGAAACGAAGGTCTTTGATGTGGAACTGCTTGTGTATTGTACTTCTAATCGCTTAAAGCAATTTCTCTTCAGATCTCTTTATGAATGCTATGGATACAGGCTGCAAAAGCATCAGCATCTTCAGTAACTCGGCCAGTCACAGGTAAGGATGAAATCAATTAGTTGTTGGCAGACCATGTGACATACTCTCTCTCTTACAGAAATCTACAATGTGAGAGGCATCATAGGTTTTTTTTCACATGTTATGAAATATGCCACCTTAAAAACTCTATCAGCTACCACAAAAATAAAATTATGACCTCTCTTTGCCCCGAGATCCATGCTTAGGTCTTCTCATGGGGCTTTCGCAAAGGAGAATAGAGGCATATGTTCTGCCTTTATCCCTTGCCTAGCTGGCATGCCACGCACCTGCTAATAATGTGCATCACATCACACTTAAGACCAGGCTAAAAGAATCAGTTTTCGACAAGGGAAATGGTCATTATTCAACCAAAATGCCCTCCTAAACCTCCCAAATGCAACTCTGGTATAATCTGCTCCCACAAGGAGCCCCATGGAATACAAGCACCATATTAGGGGTAATCATTATGAAAGAATAATATATGAGAAGTAAGACACTAGTCCCATGAAGAAGGGTCACATAAATTTTTCATCATGAAAGATATATGTGTACGATGCACTAGAAGAAGGTCTCATAAATCTTCCCGACATCTAGATTACTAGGATATGCCTGCATGAGCGCTTCAAATCTTCTTACCTCCACCATTCGGGTAGAACAAAAATGAACTGTCAGATACAAGCTCCAGTTGACATGGTGCACACCCAATTTCTTAAGGTATCTCAAAGCATCATGATCTGAATAAAGCACAAACTCTTTGGGAATCAAATCCTATTACCTAAACAACTGCATGGAATTCAAAGAAACTACAGACTGATCTTGTTTGCCCTTGTTTAGCTTCTCTCTCAAGAAAACCACAGGTGTGCCCTTCTTGCCTCAGAACAACAACGATGCCAATGTGAGAACCATCACACTCGACTTCAAAGACTTTATCAAAGTCTGGAAGCTGCATAATTGGGGGGCTCAATCATCATGGTCTTAATACTCGCGAAGGCCCTCCCAACATCTTTGGTCCACTCAAAAGCAGTGGTCCAACACTAGATTTGGGCAGCAGACTAGGCAGCTTCTCGAACAGATTGACTCAAGTGAGCAAGCTCAGAATCGGCCAAAACACGCCCGAGTCAGGGAATAGGCCAAAAAGCTCCCAGAGAATTAACAAAAAGTTCTAGAAAAATCCAAAAATTATTGACAAATCTCCAAAAAGAAGTTAGTCAAAATGAAAAAGAATAACCAATAACAAATGAAAAGAAGAAAGATGATGAAATTTTGATCTTATCTGCATAAAAAAAATTATGAAACACCGAATTATAATCATGACATTATAATTACTAATTTACTATTATTGTACTATTCCAGTGCTAAATCATCTAAAAACATATTTTTATGCATCCAAACATACAAAAATGTTGCATCATCATCATCATCATCATCATCATCATCAAATCGCCCCTCCTAACTGGAGCCTTTCTTGTGCTCTTAGAGCCTTTCACTCGAATCAAATCGCCCCTCCTAACTGGATTTTTCTAGGTTGACACTACACATAGCTAAACCACCAAAGTCTACTTTCCTTTATTTTATTGCCTATTGGAGTTATCCCAAAGTTCTCTTGGACGTATACATTCTAAATTCTATCCTTACTTGACTTGTCACTCGTCCATCTCAACATCCCCATCTCAGCCACACTCATTCTATGGATATGGTATTTTTCTTAACCGCCCAACATTTCATCCTATAAAGCAAATAACCCCATAAGCACTCTAACTGCTTTTCTAATCAACTCATAAAACCCTAAAAATATTTAAATAAATTTAAAAAAAAAAACTAGAATCCCTAAAGACACTTAAAAAGCCCTCAAAATAACCATAAAAAATTACAACAATACATCCTTAAAATGTAATAAGAAAACTTCAAAAATACAAGGCATCTTGTCCTAACTGACTCCAAATAGTTGGGATAATACCCAGATGATTACGATGATCTTGTCTTGCATCAATTGCCAAGATTCTGTCATTTTTAAATTACAATGAGACTGACCCCTTCGATGATTTTGAGCTTCTTCCTTTTTTAATTTATCTCAAAGGCAAAGAAAATGAGAAGCAAGGGCTCTTGTTAGTTTTAGTGGCCTTTAAAGGCCTAGAGAGCTTGTAAAAATGATAATTTATAGTGGAATATACACTTAAATGGGAGTGTATGTGCTAGAGATGTTCATCTGGCGGAAGGCCTTTTGAAGATTCAAAAAAAGGTAGGGCACCGCGTTCATTGACTAACCATTGGTTTAGCAATTTATGACCCTAGTTAAGTTCAAAACCCTTACCTCTAGGCATGTGGCACTACCGAGAAGAGTTTACAGTGGGTCATCCCTTGTTGAGATCAGAGGGATGCCCAGCGATGATATTTGCAGTCCAAGAAAACTGTGTGGTCATGCCTGTGATTGTTAGGCATGTGAAAGCATGGGCCCACGTCTATACAAACTTCTGCACAACAAGTACACATAACAACCACATTACTGGGAAGCAATCATTTAGAGGAACGCGTGTGCATGTACATTGCGAGAGCCTCCTTTGCACTATGGTGAAAAGTACTAGACTTGCTCTTAAAGTGGGGGATTGAAATCCACATTCCATGATCATGGTTTCACTGTTTATCGTCCAACTTTGACAATCCAATCATGAGCTCCTGCATTGAGGCTGTGGGTCATGGGTTTTTGTTGGGGTGGATAAGAAAACAGTAGTCGATCACGGTTCTTGGGTAAAGTGGAATGCCTTTATTGTTGCTAATTTTGACTATTTGGTACCAGTTCACTTCTAACATATTATATATTGGTATTAGAAATGTTTTTAAAAAAAATTAAAAAATTTTCAAAATTTTAAAATTTATTTTTGCTGTAAAATCCTTTGAAAGAGCATTTTCATAATTTTTTTAAATTTGGAACGGCACATGGGGCCCAAGATCACCCATGGGAGGGACATGGGCCATTCTGGGGACCACTAAATTTCTCTTGGGTGTTACACCCTCTTTCTTTTATTTATATGACATTTCTTCTTGTTAAAGGTTATTTTAGGATAATCTTTAAGAGTTTGAACTAAAACTCTAATTAAAAAATATTAGGAAGTTTTGGATTGGTTATAATTCTAATTTAAATAGAAGTTGGACTTGGGTCAAATTATAAGAGGATAAGGTTCTTAATAATCCTCCCAAAATCATGATTTATGGGATGGATGGCTCAAATTTATTCTCTCACCCCACAGATTTTCTAAGTTCCTATTGGTCAAGCTGTCATTGGATAAACAATACCTAAGGAAGAAATTCTAATCCAAATGGGAAAAGAAATTTTTTTTATTTAAACACCATTGAGCCCCTCTCTCTCAAGACACATATTTCTCTCTCCTCCATGCACCAAATCTCTCTTTATCCTTCTCTTATTTATTAAAAATTCATTTTTCTCTCTCCCCTCTTCCAAAAGGGTCATGTCACCCAAAATTTGATAAGACAAGGGTGACACATTGAAACCCTAATTAGTGTTTTACTGTTTTGAGAAGAAAAAGGGGTACGCCCAGCCATAGGAGGATTCTGTGCCTTCAAGCCCAGCCCTAATTTGTTCCTAAAGTTCCTACAAACCCTAGTTAGGTTTCCATGCTCTCCAAAACCCCACAGTAAGAACTATTGCCTATGAAAGTTTCCCATCTCTAAAATTCCAGCAGTATAAAAAAGGGACAAAAGTGTGTCATCGGTCAAGGAATCGGGTGAGGGGTGTATCAAGCAAGACCTGTAAGAATAATTCCATGCATCTTTTAGTAAGTCTTCCCAATTGATTTAATTATTTTATAGTTATATTTTAAATGTTCTATGAATTTTTAATAATATATTTTGTACTTAAAATCATAGTGGAAGATTGGTTATTGCTTATGAATGGTATCTATTTGTTTTGGCAGTAAAACTAAATATCCTAGGTTGTGTTTAGGGTTTCTAATTGATTTACAGCATAGTACAGTGGCCCATGTAAGTGGAATTCAGGTATATTGAATAACAGAAATGAAAAAAATTGAATTTAATACTTTGAATTCTACATACCCACTCCTTTCAGCCTAACCTTAATCATAGGAACCTTGTAGTTGGCTAGTGCTCCAAGTTTATGCTCCTTTTGTGGTTCATTAGAAGTTACTAGTATAGATTCGTCTTGACAAAACCCCACTCCAGTTTCATATATACTAACATGATAAAAATCTGGAAGCAATCTATGCTCTTACACACATAATTGTATGATGGCTGCTTTGAGTGGTATGAAATGCTTCATTTGGATAGCACAACATATTAAATTTATGGTGAGAGGATGATATATAAAGTGTCTAGTTAATCATCAAGGATTTGATTCATTTTTCTTTCCAACTATGAAAACCATAAAGAATTTTTCCATTCTTTAAGCAGAGATTCACTAGAAAAAACTAGCAAAGTGGGACAGAAAACACATTACCATTTTATGTTGCTTACACAAGTTAAATCGCAACTTGTAGAGGAAAAAGCAATGATTACGGAGCCAGCATAACAAATAAACTGTAAACCCGAATCTCAACAAAACAAACATCAGATCAATATGAAGAATCCATTTAGGAATCAAAAATAAAATAAGCAATATTGAACTGAAGAAAATGCATGTCAAGAGACAAACCAAGCCTAATAAGTAGGGAAAAATTGACTTATGCAAATGGTATTTCACCAGAACTCGATGAAGACGAATTATATCTCCATTGGACTTCACATGAGGAAGCTTCTCCATGCTTGGAGCAAAAAATGTCACAGGTAACACAGGTTCTCCCCGGGACATGTCCATTATCTCTAATCTACACACAAAATCTGCAAGATAAGAACATTGATCAAGATAAAAAGAAAAACCAATCCTGGTGAAAATGATGCAAAGGATGGAGAGTATTGAACATGACAATCACATAAAACAACTACAGAAGGTAAGGGCCACAACATTGTGTAGTTAAAGGTATTCATTTGATGCACTAAGAAGTACGTATAAGAATGCATGTATGACACAAACATACATGCGCATAAATACGTGGATGCGTGTGCTGATCAGTATACTATAAGTGTAAGTAAACATGCATTTATGCATATGCAAATACATAGATAGGTACATAGATATGTGTGTGCATATTGATATTATAATATATGCAAATTTATATACAGTTACACACCTTTTTCACATAATACCAACAACAAAAGGAAAACTAGAAAAAAAAAAGAAACAGGGGCACAATTTATATCTAACTCCTACGGTGTCCTTTCATAAGCTGTACAAGATGCAAAAAGAAAGTTTTCACAGTGAAGTAAGGAGGATGACTGTGTCAGCCCTTTAGCAATTGGTGGAGGCCTACAAGTCTGAAGCTATCATGTTTGGGCTTGAAGGCTATCAAATGAATTAGACATTGAAGATGGAATAGTAAAGCCACATGACCGATCCACGTATGTCAGTCATTGAGATGAAACCAAATGATGGTGGTTAATTTCTCAGTCGAAAGAAGCAAGTATGGCGAGGAAAGTGGATATATAGAGAGGTGAGGAAAGTAGAGATATAGAGATTGGGATTTAAGATAGCAAAGCAGAGTATATCCAAGTTCAACAGCTGTAAGAATGAAGATGTTAGGCCAACTATACTTTTTTCTTTTGGTGGGAGGGATGAACTGTAAATTTTGGAGCAAAGTGGTAATGCTAGGCTATTGGAGAAGCATTTGCAAAATAATAAACAAATAGCATAAGACCATAAATGAGAATTTTGAAAGAATCTTATGATTTATGTCTTGTGATGTTTTCTAAAACAAGCCGACCCCAAATAATTGGGATAAGGCTTGGATGATGATGTTTCCTAAAACAATAATTTCTTTTTTTTGTAGATAATTCAAAGTTTTAAAACCATTTTTTGCTAATGTCAAGTTGGGAACCACCAAGTCAACTTGAGTCATTCGACAACACAGAGTTATAAATATCATTTTTCTAGGAATGATAACGGTCATAGTTGATCACATGCTATAAATTTCAGAACTACAACAGCCGCCACAAGTCCCTTGCCGAGAGAAACAACCACGCTAAAAAAATAGGACTAAGAAAAGTGGTGACGTCACCATAAAAACCAAAATGTCCCCCAAGAAAGAGAAACCACAAATGAACATTGCTGATTGCTTTATTGCTAGAGTTTTGCTGAAGAAACAGCGAATACATTAAAAATGGGATTTAAAAAAAAACCTGTTAATCTACCATTGCTGGTTCGAGATACACAATTCATGTTCATCGTGATGTATCCAAGATAAAGTTGTGTTTCAGCTACCGGGCTGTGAAACTCATTTTAAAATACTTATTGGGTTTTCTCTTTAAGATTGCCATCATTTCAGATCAATCCAGGGAAGAAATCAATAATCATGGTTGAGACTAAGTTAACAATGGAAGAACGGGATTACAAGGGAATGTAGCAATACGACTTCAGATATTTATCTATCTTGGGAAGAGAATTCACTTGATGAAATTGCAGTGTACAAGAGGTTTTGGGCTCAGTTCAATAATTGAAACCCGAAATATGGTTTCGCTTGTTTTGGTTTAGTTTCTTTGCATATTTGAATACACTTCCACAGATAACTGTTAGATATTTCACTACGTTCATCATCAAAAGAATTTGAATTCACTGGCTTGAAAAAGCATGGAGACTTGGAAGAAGAACAAGGGTTGATGTTTTTCTTTTCACCCTTTTTGTTAAACAAAGGAAGGGGATTGATTTTCTCCTGTTTTGTTAAATGAAGAACATGGATTGAAGAGAATTAGAAGAACATTACCAGTTCCTTTGCTTTTTTTGGGCATCCCAAACTCCTTTACTACGCCAAAAATGTTCACCTTCTGATTAATGCATGAAATTGCATCTCTTATATCCGTATACACAATATCCTTCGACTGGTCCATGGAGGGAAAGTGCGACTTCAATTTCGAAGTCGTGCCTTCTGTAGTGGCTAATATACCCGGAATTGCCCTGCCTTTCGAGCCTTATGTTGTTGCAAATATACCCGAAATACCCCTGCCTTTTCGGATATTGCGTCCGAACATGTGGACAATTACCGGTCGTTCAATGAGCCTCATTCAAGGGCTAAAAATGAATTTCATTTTTTATTTTAAAAAAATAGTATTTATATGAAATTTGGGTTTTAACACGAACTAAATAATAATAATAATAAATATTTTTTTAAACATATAAATTAAAATAAGGTTGTGGTTTGCATAAGGTCATAACTTTAAACAATATGTGTTAACGTGAATCTTCAAAAATTTTTAGGATAATGTGAGAATATATTTATACCTCTAATTTTAAACTTAAAAAATAGCTCGAATCAAACAAAACTATAAATACATGAAACTCTTGAAAATGGACAGGCCAAATAATATATTACAAGATGCATTATTTTTAATACTTGAAATCTCTCTTTTTCACTATATATATATATATAAGACAGAAATCATACAAAAAACTATATCATAAAAAGAAACCTAAATATAAAGACGAAAAGTACGAGAAAAAACCCAAAGATGGAAAAAGATATAAACGACAAATACCTCGGTGTTATAAATGTGAAAAATTAGGACTTATAAAAATAACTGTAATGTTAAGAAAAAGATAGAATCATTAATATTAGATGAACATATAAGAAATCAGTTGTATGATATTATTCAGCTTTATGATAAAGATATCAGTACAACCTCTTCCTCATCCTCAGATAGTTCTGATAACGAATCATATATTGGAATAATAAAAGATGAAGATTTATTAAATGAAACATCCTCTTTATCTGACCAAAATAATAAATGTTCTTGTCATACCCTCACCAAAGAAGACAATTTAATTCTAGAAATTATAGACAAAATACCTAATACTGACTATAAAAGAACCATAATCAGTCAATGTATTCAAATAGCAAAAGCTAAGAATAAACTAACTCCATTAATCAAACCACCAGAAGAATATAGTTTCTCAGAAATTCTGAAACGAATTGGTCAAAAGAATAACAGTCAAAAGGAACCTATTATTGCTGAGCTAAAACACGAAATTAATGAAGTAAAATCTGAACTTATTAAGTTAAAAAACAAAATTAAGTTATTGGAATTAACCAAATTAACAGATAATACTTCTGAAGATGAAGGAGATATAGAATTTGCAAATTTATTACACAACATGGAAAATAAACCTGAATCCTATAATCTTAACCAAGAACTTTAATTAAATTTAATCAACAAAATTCTAAGCCAAAAATGGTAGACATTAATTAAAATCATAGTTCTGAACGAATTTACCTTCCAAACATTAGCCTTAATAGACTCAGATGCTGATTTAAATTGTATAAGCGAAGGATTAGTTCCCACAAAATACTTTCAGAAAACAACACAAGTATTAAATACAGTCGATGGGAGTAAATTAAAAATCAATTATAAATTATCAAATGTTGCTATATGTAATAATGGAATTTGCTTAGAACTACCATTTATTATGGTAAGAGGATTAAATCAAGCTGTGATTTTAGGAACTCCATTTCTCAGTATGCTATATCTGATTAATATAGATCATACTGGAATAGAATCAACAATAGAAGGAATAAAAGTCAAATTTGAATTTATTGATAAACTAAAAATAAAAGAAATAAATAATGTAAAACAAAACATACAAAACAAAGAGACATTTTTGTATCAATTACAAGCTGAAATAAAATATAAAACAACTAAAGAACAACTGTTACTACTTGAAATTCAAAAAACAATAAGGCAAATTAAAAGGCAAATAGAAACAATAATTTGTAGAGAACTACCTACTGCTTTTTGGAATTGACATAAACATATAATATCACTACCCTATGAAGAGAACTTTTCGAAATCTAAAATACCAACTAAAGCTCGACCGATTCAAATGAATACAAAAATGGTAGAAATATGTAAAAACGAAATAGATTCTCTCCTAGCTAAGGGATTAATACGGCCTAGCTCATCACCATGGAGTTGTGCCGCCTTCTACGTAGAAAATAATGCAGAAAAGGAACGAGGCGTTCCTAGACTAGTCATCAACTATAAACACCTAAACAAAGTTTTAAAATGGATAAGATATCCAATTCCAAATAAAAAAGATTTATTAGATAGACTTCTAAATGCCTGCATTTTTTCAAATATTGATTTAAAGTCAGGTTATTGGCAAATACAAATAAATAAACAAGACCCGCTATAAAACGATGTTTAATGTTCCTTTTGGACAATATGAATGGAACGTTATGCCATTTGGATTAAAAAATGCCCCATCTGAATTCCAGAAATTTGTGAATGATGTATTTAATCCCTATTTAAAATTTATGATAGTCTACATCGATGATGTTCTTATTTTTTCTATTGACATACATCAACATTTTAAACATTTAAATATATTCCTTAATACAGTAAAAACTGCGGGACTTGTCGTCTCTGCTAAAAAATTAGCTCTTTGTCAAACAAAAGTCCGATTCTTAGGACATAACATCTTCCAAAGCACAATCATTCCTATTGATAGAGCTATTGAATTTTCTAATAAATTTCCTGATGTAATCTTAACAAAAGTAGAATTACAACGCTTCTTAGGATGTTTAAATTATATAGCAGATTTTATTCAAGACTTTGCTACTATTGCCAAACCATTATTTGATCGATTAAAAAAGAATCCGCCTAAGTGGATTGATCAACATACTAATGCTATTCGACTTCTGAAAAGCAAATCAAAAGAACTACCCTGTTTAGTTTTATCCGATCCTACTGCATTTAAAATTATTGAATGCGATGCTTCAGAAATAGGATTAGGTGGAATTCTTAAACAGCGAAATAATAGCAATAACGAACAATTAGTTAGATATACATCTAAAGCTTGAAACTCTGCAAAGCAAAATTATTCGACTATTAAAAAAGAAATTTTAGCTATAGTTCATTGTGTGAATAAGTTTCAAAGTGATATTCTAAATACTTATTTTTTTATTTGAACATACTGTAATCTGCCAAAGATATTCTGCAAAAAAGAGTTTCATTTGGCAAGCTATTTTATCAGCTTTTGATTTTACCATTGAACATCTTCACGGCTCTACTAACTCTCTTCCTGATTTCCTCACCCGTGAATTTTTGCAGGGGGCATCCCGATCTACCACCACAGTTTGAGTTTGAAGAAATCCCATTAGCAATACAACTCTTTAATATGAATATTAATACTCCTAATCAACGACCAGGCAAGAATTTACAGACACTAATGGACCTTGTCCCCATAGTGAACCCCGGTTCACCTCTAGCTATGCATCCACCGTTATCACCAACCAGATCTCTGAATTATCTTGAACAATCTACCCAAATTCCAGATCCTATATTTACTCCGCTATCCAACCAAAATAAATCAACTAGTTCTACCTCACACAAGGCCATATTTGAAGAAACAGTCTTTTAATAGATATTACTATTGATGATAAACATATCCATATAGACCCAAATAAGCGGCTCTTCTATATGTCCAAAATCATATTAATCCTTCAAATGGAAACAAAACCCGAGAATGGTATAAGACTGTTCTCATGGAAACAGGTTCTATCACTCTGGTACACTTCTTTAATCCTACTACTAAAGTTATATCTTACTCTCAGATACAAATAAAGAAAATATTATCATATGATGATTGGAATTTCGGGAATTTCATGGAGCATCATGGCTGCTGGTTTTGCTATTTTTATTACTGATTCTTTACTTTTAGATTTTCCCTTTTCTTTAATATCTAGAGTTGCTAATTTAGTAATTAACTGCTGCATTAATTCAGACGAAAATTCTTCTTTCTTTTGAAATCTGGCCTTGTTTATTAGATAAGGAGGTTTAACTAATATTGCCTTTTTCTTTTCTTCTATTTTCTATTGTGGTTGTTGGATAATGTTTTCTATCCTAGTGGTCTGTTTTCCTATGGTTTGTAAATATAAATTTGTATAATTATTTTGTTCAACCAAATGGGGTAACAATTCTATTTTAAGATAATTTTCGTCAGGAAGTGTTTTATATGGAGTAGCTAGAGTTTCTAATTCTTGTTTTTTATCTATTATTTTATACTTTCTTCGAGAGGATGAATACTACGGATATATTTCTGTTGACTTGTAATATAAGTATTATATTTATTTTCAAGAGTATGTAATTGGAATTCAGGAATTTTTATTCCTTTTAATAATAATGTTGTTTTAAGCCATTCAAAAGATCCTATAGTTATTTTTTCTTTTTTCAAAATTTTTTTATATCGCTTATGTTGTAGATGGGTTTGATATACTGGTTTAAGTATATTCTCTTGAGTTCTTACTAGTCCTTGTATTTCAGGTTCTGAATTCGAAGAAGTTTTAGGTTATGTAATGCTAAACCCAGACTTTCGTGAGGGTAATGATCGTCTTGGTAGTGGAAGATAAGTATCATCGGTACTAGTTATAGGAGGAGATCTTTGATTAAATTGTATTTCTATTTCGCCGTCTATATGTTCAATAATTTGATTTGGAATATTATTTTTTGGAGTTTTTACTGACTGATTGGAGGTTTGAATCTTCCAATCCTGTGGAAGTTTTATTTGAGACCAACCTCTTACGTCTTTTGAGACCACCTCTGGTCAACCTCTTACGTCTTGAATGACTTGAGCGGCTCTTCCTGGCCTAAATGGTCTATAATGACTGGGCGACAATGAGTCTTAACTTTACCATATAAATAGCTAATTTTATTAGAAACTTAGCAACTAAACACTGTTCACAACTAAAAAAAGTCTAACAGTAAATAGTAAGAAGGTCTATAGGCTCTGATACCAAAAAGCACGCCAAGATCTAAATCTTACTTTTTGTCTAATTTTATCTTAAAATCATTGAAAATACTGTGGTATAGTCTAGTAGAAAACATAAAAGCGCAGTATAATATAGGAAGCAACACAAAATGATAATA